CACCTATTCTTTTGCCTTCAGGGGGGGTGTTGGCCTACAGCTGTCAGTCGATGCCACCAGCCGGTTCCTTGGCCACAACTAGCGACCCTCACACAAGGGCAACTGGACCAACTTCGCACCTACACTCGAACCACCATAATCAACATCAATACCAGCAGCATGTCCTGCGTACAGCAGATGCAACCATTTCCGATTCAGAGCGTTTTCCGCGCTTCCGGGCCGAAATAGCGCATAAGTAAGTCAGCTGTGACTGGACAACACTAAATTCCTCTCGTTTTTTGCATATTTTTCTATCTATCCTTAACCAGCTTGCAGCCCAAGCAGCTAGCCATACATTTAATGATGTATGCAGAAAACACAATGACAAACTGGGGACTGATATAAGGACAAAAAGACATAATAACAACAATCTGATTGAATGACCAAACGATTGACCTTACTTACAGAACAATAGACAAGGATTTTATAAATTGCCACATTTAGTTAAGATAGTATGCAATTAGGACAAACACGAATTTAAATCAACACGCATGTAATGGATTTATAAAAAGGAAATTCTTGGTCCGATTCCTTATTCCACAACTGTTAAGACATTTTCCTTTTTACAAGACTCTAATTTGAGTGAAAATCTCGACTTAAACGTTAGCTGGATGAGTGAACTTTTGTGTATCTCGTGATCCTTTAGATGAACGCTTCTATCTTAGATAAACTGCCTATGAACTTTGCGGATGCTGAAAGTGCACTTGACAAGAGGCCAATCAGTACTTAAATTCATTAGTGACTGTCGTAAAGTTTAGCGCTTTTTGCACTGAAATGATCTAAGGTATTGTTTTCTTTCAGGCCAAAGGCTCGAAATTTCGTTAAATATCGGTTGAATGATGATGTTGATATTGAAGCGCTAATGTTGTAAAAAAATCTTGGTCTCCAGTTGGACTTCACTCTGATTTCGGGTCACATTTGCAAGTGTTATGAATCGAGGATTTCTTCTTCCTACATAGGTTATCAAAGAATTTACCACGAAATATAAGTTGCCCTAAGTTTT